AGAAAGTTGGCCAGTGCTTGCTCTTTAGATCATAGAGATGTGTTGTTCTAAAAGAGGCCTTTAAGAAGCCACCAAATCCACGGGCCATAATACCTTTCTGTAAAGTATTTTAATTCAACCCTGACATTTGAGAAATGAGGACTCCAAGTTAGGAAATGGCTTGTTTTCTTAAAGTATAAGAGCTGTAGTAGGTATTTTTATAGCTTAGGCAGATATGGAAACTTTTCACTGATTTTTTTGTTTTTTGATGCCCCCACCCTCCAATACTGACAACTTTTGTTATAATGGGCTTCTTTTCCTTAGTTTTCATTAATTGAATTTTCTTTCTTTCTTTTCTTTTTTTGAGACGGAGTTTTGCTCTTGTCGCTCAGGGTGGAGTGCCGTGGGGTGATGTCAGCTCACTGCAACCTCCCTTGTTCAAGCAATTCTCCTGCCTCAGCCTCCTGAGTAGCTGGCATTACAGGTGCCTGCCACCATGCCTGGCTAATGTTTTGTATTTTTAGTGGAGATGGGGTTTGGTCATGTTGGGCAGGCTGATCTCGAACTCCTGACCTCAGGTGATCTGCTTGCCTCGGCCTCCCAAAGTGCTGGGATTATAGGCGTGAGCCACCGAGCCTGGCTAGTAATTGAATTTTCATGATGAATAAATGTTAGAGGGAGGCCTAGAACGAGAAGAAGATTGATAAACCTACTCCTACTCTTCAGAATTTCTTGTTCAGAGCACTGCAGTGATTTCTAAGACTAACAATAAAAATAAAATGTTGAACTGAGAATAAGGTACATATTTGATAACGAGTTTGGTTATTCTTGCTGCCCACTTCAATATGCATCCAAAAGCTGCATAAGAGAGTAATATAAAACTTGGAGATAGCTACCTTGATTTACTGTGCTCTTGGGATTTCTCTGATGATACTTGAGAGAGATTTTTGCAGTGTTTTTCAAAACTTTCTTGATATTTTGAGGGCTTTTAATGCTGTGTTTTTATATTACTTTTCAAAACAGATTCAAATCTGTATTTGTGTCATTGTTTCTGTTGGTCTTCCTACCAGATTAAGATTCATGTAAGATTAACTGAGCTCCTTTTAACATATATTTTTTCATTTTACAGTGATAATAATAGCTGACATTTTTCTGACTTTATTATATCCTGGCTATGTTTCTAAGTACTTTGTGTTTTTGTTATCACAGCAACCCTATGAGGTAGGCACAGTTTTATCCTCACTTTACAAATTAGAAAAACATCACTGAAACATAGTGTGGTTAAGTAATTTGCCTAAAATCACTCAGCTGATAGTAGCAGAAATTTACACCCACAGAGTCTGTCTGCTTGCAGAGGCTATGCTTCTAACTACAGTGTCATGTGAGACATGGTAGTACACATGAAAAAGTGGTCACGACAAAGAGGCTATCACAGTCATCAGTTTGTTATAAATGGATGGAATTCTTTAGGGCAAGTTTAAGCATGTTATAATTATGTACCCTATCAGCTGCTTCTACTGTAGCTGTGTTTGAACTCTCAAGGATAGTGATATAGCTTAACCACCTCCTATTTTTTATGCAGACTTGTAAAAAAGGCAAAAAGGGCCCAGCAGAAAAGGGCAAAGGTGGAAATGGAGGAGGAAAACCTCCTTCTGGTCCAAACCGAATGAATGGTCACCACCAACAGAATGGAGTGGAAAACATGATGTTGTTTGAAGTTGTTAAAATGGGCAAGAGTGCTATGCAGGTAAGATTGATGTTGTTCTTCCGAGTTCATTTGTACTTTTTAAACTTTATTGAGTTATATAGAGTGTAGCCCTGATTTTTCTAATTGCATCTTATTTATTTATTTTTTGTTTATTTTTGTGGGACAGACTCTCCCTGTGTCACCAGGCTAGAATGCGCTGGCGTGATCTTGGCTCACTGCATTCTTTGCCTCCTGGTTCAGGTGATTCCCCTGCCTCAGCTTCCCGAGTATCTGGGACTGTAGGCACATACCACCATGCCTGGCTGATTTTTTTGTGTTTTAGTAGAGACAGGGTTTCACAATGTTGGCCAGGATGGTATCGATCTCCTGACCTGGTGATCCGTCCACCTTGGCCTCCTAAAGTGCTGGGATTACAGGTGTGAGCCACCATCCCTGGGCTTCTAATTGCATTTTAAACATACACTACTTACTAGAGAAAAAAAAAAACAAAATCATCAGTAAGCTCTTGGGATGTATTTCTTTATGTATAAGACTTTCAAGCTGTCTCTTGATTCATTTTCTGCTGCATTTTTTTTTGAGACAGAGTCTTGCTCTGTTGCCCAGACTGGAGTACAGTGATGTGATCTCGCCTCACTGCAACCTCCACCTCCTGGGTTCAAGCAATCCTGCTGCCTCAGCCTCCAGGTAGTTGGGATTACAGGCATGCACCACCACACCTGGCTAATTTTTGTATTTTTAGTAGAGATAGTGTTTCACTATGTTGGCCAGGCTGGTCTCAAACTCCTGCTTTGGTCTCGAAAATCTGCCTGCCTTGGCCTCCCAGAGTGCTGGGATTACAGGCGTGAGCCACCATGCCCAACTCATTATTTTTTTAATGGCATAAAGTAAAAAAAAAAATTTGGTCAGAAATACGCTGATGTTAAACCATGGCTATGAGGTCTCAATTTGCCCTGAATTTATATAGCTGCCATTAAAATATGAAGTCTTCTACACATGTTGAATTCCTGGTTGAATGATGTAATAGAATTACTGTCTACTTTAATAAATTGAATTATTTTGGTCCGTGTTGTCTATTACAAATTTTATTATTTGTGCTTGTTTCTTAGAAGAATAAAATGTTGGAGGCGTATTCATGTCAAATCATTCAATGTTTTCTCTGCATACTTTTATGACAATAGTAACATTTAAGCTTTCTAATGTTGGCTAAACCCATATGGTTTTAAAAAGTGGAATAATATACTCAAGGAATATGTATACTTAATAACGTTTGAATATAATTTATAAAAGCTACAGGAAATAGTTTTTTTTAAATTTCAACTTTTAGATACAGGGGTTACATGTACAGGTTTGTTATATGAGTATATTGCACCTAGGAAATGAGCGTAGTATCCAGTGGATAGTTTTTCAGTTCCCACCCCCCACACCATTAGTTTGCAGTGTCTATTTTTCCCGTGTTTGTGTCCACGTGTGCTCAATATTTAGCTTCCACTTACAAGTGAGAACATGTGGTATTTGGTTTTCTGTTCTGCGTTAATTCGCTTAGGATTATTGCCTCCAACTCTACCCATGTTGCTGTGAAAGACACAATTGCATTCTTTTTTATGGCTGTAGGGAATAGTATTTCTTCATAGACATAACTTGAATTAGTGATGGGTACACATGAATGGTTTTCTGAGAACTAGCCATTCAGGCTTTTTGTTAATAAAAACTGAAACAAAACCTTGTTTAGAAATATACAATTAGCTTAATATGTGTGGTTTTGTAAATAAAATGTATCAAATGAGACTAACAAAGAACAGTTTTCCATGTAAAATATGAAAATACCTGTTAATTTTTTGAGCTTTCACCAATTTTACAGAGCAAAGAACTTAAAAGGTGCCAGATTTACTTATACCATTCTAATGTACCTTTGTTTATCCATTTATTAATGTTTGCTTGTATATTATTGTGATTAGAGTATGGATTCTTTTTCTTGTTTAATGTTTTAAATTACTGTTTTGAATATGTTTGGCTTTTCAAAAATAAATAATGTCTTATTATATTATTGTGCTATGACTTATTTCATCATTCCTCAATTTTAAAAATTACTTTTCTCTCTCTAGTTCTCCTTTTGGGTTATTTTTATCAAGAGGATAAATTATTTCAGTTACATTATATTGCATTTAATTACTTTCCCTCTTATTTTTATATTATACATTTTCTCTGTAATATTTTGTTCTAAGTAGTTAAATGCATTAACTTTCTTTCTTCAGCTGTCTTTTTAACATCAGTGTCTTAGTCCATTTGGGCTGCTATAAAAAACCAACATAGGCCAGACGTGGTGGCTCACTCCTATAATCCCAACACTTTGGGAGGCCGAGGAGGGTGGATCACCTGAGGTCAGGAGTTCGTGACCAGCCTGGCCAACATGGTGAGACCCCCGTCTCTACTGAAAATACAAAAATTAGCCAGCCGTGGTGGTGGGTACCTGTAATCCCAGCTACTTGGGAGGCTTAGGGAGGAGAATCTCTCGAACCTGGGAGGCGGAGGTTGCGGTGATCTGGGATTGTGCCATTGCACTCCAGCTTGGGCAATAAGAGTGAAACCCTGCCAACAACAAACAAACAAAACAAACACACACAAAAAACGAATATAAACTAGGAAGCTTATAAAAAATAAACTTATTTCCCACAGCTCTGAAGGCTGGGAAGTCCAGTATTAGGTGCCTGCAGATTCATTATCTGGTAAGGGCCTGTTTTCTTGTTCACAGATGGCATCTTCTCACTGTGTCCTCACATAGTGGAAGGAACAAGGCTTTCAGGGGACTCATGATTTAATTGCCTTCTATAGGCTTCACTTCTTAATACCATAACATTGGTGACTACAGTTCAAGATATAGTTTGAACATACAACCATTCAGACCACAGCTATGAGAAATCCTGATTCATGGCCATGGCCAATTAGGCTATTCCATTTTTGTCTAAAAATGAATATTTTCCTTAATTTTTATGTTGCTTATGGTTTGTCATATTAAGATTGTACCTCTTATCTGTGCCATTTGGGTTTTTTTTTCTTTTCTAAGGTAGGGTTTCACTATCTTACCCAGGCTGGACTTGAACTCCTGGGCTCCAGCAATCCTCATGTCTCAGCCTCCCCAGTAAGTGGGACTACAGACACATGCCATTGCGCCCAGCTTGTTTTTTGTTTTGAAATGTGTTTCCCTCTTAAGAGAGAATGTCTGCAGTATCTATCTCTTCATTGATTTCCTGGAATCTCTTCCCCAGTTCCATTTTGCTATGTGTGTTCCCACTTGTGTTACCCTTTTAAGACCAAATTTGATGGAGGAAGTCCTCTATTTTAGAAACTTCCAAGGGTTCTTTCTTACCTAAAATTTATAGCCCATATTTCCTTATGCCATATTTTCTGTCCTCCAGTCACAGTGTATACTCTGTCCCTAGGCTTTTCTTTTTGTTTTTATTGTTGTTTGGAATAGTTTTCTTTTACTCCCCCTTTGCATATCAAATAGGACTGAGTGAATTAAATGTCACTCTTCTAAAGAGCATTCTCAGACACTGTCTACTACTTTTCCTTTCCAATGTGTTTTTTACTCTTCTCATCGTATAGCGCTTATACTGTGCCTCGCTTTGATTCTAGACTGCTAATTCTTTGGTCAAGGAACATGTATTATTCATTATTTTTGCATTGTCAGGATACACCTATCTCAGTTATTACTTGAGACAAGGTCTCACTCTGTCACCCAGGCTGGAGTGCAGTGGCGTGATCTTGGTTCACTGCAACCTCCACCTCCTGGGTTCAAGCGATTCTCATGCCTCAGCCTCCTGAGTAGGTAGGATTACAGGCACACGCCACCATGCCCAGCTAATGTTTTTAGTACTTTTTGGTAGAGACAGAGTTTCATCATGTTGGCCAGGCTGGCTATCTTAGTAATTGTAAGTGAGAGTCAATAAATACAAGACTAGCTGTTGGTTTAAAAGTAGTTGTTACTGTTTAAGAATGGAGAAAGTATGTAGATGCCCCCTAATTTTCTTACATAGCAGATGTTGAATTTTGCTACGTAAGTTCTCAGCATACTATTTGATTAAAAATTTTAAGCATATTTCAGTAGCTCACATTATTTTTATTACTTATTTTTTTTACTTATTTTCCTAGTGTAAACTCTACTTGATCTTCATGAATTACTTTTTAATGTGATGTAGTATTCTCTTTGTAAGAGTTCATTGAATATTTTGTGTCTTTATTGATGAGAGTAGCCATTGTTCCAGTTATCTGTTGATGCATAACAAACCACCCCAAACTTAGTGATGTAAAACAGCAATCATTTTATCATGCCTAATGATTCTTTGGGTCTGGAATTGAGACAGAACTAAGTGGAGATGATTTGTCTCTGCTTTATTATGGCTAGGGCCTTAGCTGGGACTACTTGAATGCCTGGCAGTAACACAGTTAGGGACTATAATCATTTGGAAGCTTCTTTACTCATGTTTAATGCCTAGTCTGTAGTGATACGAAGGCTGGGTTAGCCAGAACTGTTAGCTGAGTACCAGCAAATGGCCTTTGTGGCTATGGCTTCTTACAGTATGGCTTTTGGGTTGGAGAGAATGTCCTGAGAGTACTGTCCAGTTTGCCAGTGCTCCAAGAGACCAGTGCAGTTTCTGCCTGGCATTCTGTGACCTAATTTTGGAAGCATCACTGCATTTTGTTCTAGAGAACATGGCATAGACTCTGCCTCTTATTGGGGAGCAATGTCCAAGAATTTGGGGCCATGTTTGAAAACTGTCACCATCCCTATGATATATTCTTTTGCTGTTTATTGCCTATATCATATTGGGAAAAATATTGAGCACATTTCTTTCATAAATTATGTTGGTTAATGTACACTAGCTGTTCTAAATACAAAAAAGTAGAAATTAAGTAAAGTTTTAGAATAATTCCAGTCAGTCTATCTGAACAAGGTATTTCTTTTTGTTTTTTCATACTAGCTCGTTAGTAGTAGATCCAAATGAACCAGGTATTTCTTAGATATTGCCCTTCCTTCCTTCCCTCCTTCCTTCCTTCCCTGCTTCCTTCCCTCCCTCCCTTCCTTCCTTCCTTCCTTCCCCTCCCTCCC